TATTAAATAAATGAAACATTTAAAACCATATTAATAATATAAATAGTCTAGTTATAAATTATTTTTAAAAATAAAAAATTTTAAATTAAATTACATGATATATAAACAAAATAAAATAAAAATTACTTTCATTGTATAATTTTTTTAAAAAATAATTTGACATGTGACGAGATCAAATCCATCCAAAAAATAAAAATACATTTTTTTAATATGATTAATACTATTAAACTCGAAGGGTTAGCTGCCCTTCATTGTATAATTAAAATAATATATATATATATATATGTATAATATAATCGTATACTCCCTTTGTCTTTGTCCTTTTCCAATTACCAATTTTGAAAATAAAAGTAGGCATCTAGTGGTCAGGCCGGCTGCTGGAAGATTAGCTTTGAATTTTATTTGTTCCACCTACCGCGAGTACCGCGAGGTGGGCTTTCTTTATATGCAGCCCCTGCTAAGCTTAAATGTCTAAAAGCAGCAACAATAATAACGACAGGAGGAACAAAACTCAGAAGGACCAACATCAAATTCAGAAACTAATGGCTCTCAATCAGCAAGAAGATGTTGTACCTCAATTCGACAAGAGCACATTAGCAGCCGAAGTATCAGCCTTCTCTTCCTACATGCAAGACAACAGCCGCCCCAAAAGTCTGCTGCAGAGCGATGCTCTTTTCTATGTAAGTTGATCTTCATCAACTTCCTCATCGATGAAAATTAAATGATGCAAACACATAGTTTTACATGTATGTCCATTTTTTTTTTTTTTAATGCAGTACATACTTGAGACTAGCGTCCTTCCTAGAGAGCCTGAAGCCTTGAAGGAGCTCAGGGAGCTGACCGCAAAACACCAATGGTACTCATCCTTAATTTTCATCATGTTACAATTTTTGTTTTCATCCCTCCTGTCTTGATAAATGCAAATTCTTGATACTTGAAAAACAGGAACATCATGACGACACCACCAGAAGGAGGGCAATTCCTAAGCTTGCTACTTAAGCTTATGAATGCAAAGAACACAATGGAGATTGGAGTTTACACTGGCTACTCTCTTCTCGCCACTGCCCTTGCTATCCCAGAGGACGGCAAGGTATTGGATTTTATTGCTTAAATATTTAAAAAAAATAAAATAAAATAAAAACTTAAAATGATATCATTTCAATTAACTGGGATTTTATATGTAAAAAATAATGTTTCAGATATTGGCCATGGACATCAACCGGGAAAATTATGAACTGGGTTTGCCTATCATCAAGAAACATGGTGTTGCTCATAAAATTGATTTCAAAGAAGGCCCTGCTCTTCCTGTTCTGGATCAATTGATTGCGGATGTGAGTGCTAACTTAATATCATCCAACAACACTAATTTTTTTCTTTTTCAGCAAGAGTAGTTAGCTAATTTAATTTTTTATTTGGAATTGCAGAAAAAGCAGGGGACATTTGATTACGTGTTTGTCGATGCTGATAAAGACAACTACCTTAACTACCACAAGAGGCTGATCGAGCTGGTGAAGGTTGGGGGACTCATTGCCTACGACAACACACTGTGGATGGGTTCTGTAGCGGTGCCGCCCGATGAGTCAATGCCCAAGTTCTTCGTGTATTATAGGCATTTTGTGTTGGAGCTCAACAAGGCCTTGGCGGCTGATCCAAGGATCGAGATGTGCCAGCTTCCCGTCGGCGATGGGGTCACTCTGTGTCGCCGCATCTACTGATCTAATAAGAGGATGAGGTAGCTAGTGCCGGTCAGTTAGACTGGCAAAGCCCTCAACTATATGACGATGTATGAGACTGGTGTGTGTTAGCTAGAATCACAAGTACTTTTTCTTATAATATAATGTAATGTTAAACTGTTTATCAACTGGGATAGATTCGATTTAGACCAGTAAGAAAAAAAGAAAAATGATATATTAATATTAAAAATGACATAATTTTTAACTATAATTATAAAATAAGTAAAATATAATATAAATTTTATTTTAATTAAATTATTATAATACTATTATTATATACTTTAATTCTTTTTAATATCAAAACCTCTTAATTTTTTCATTTTCCTATACTCATGTGATACAAAAAAGAAAAGTAGTTTTCAGTACCAAAGCAATCAGCCCACTTGCTTAACGTGGTGCTCCCTTGCCTGACGTGGTGCTCCCTTGTGGTTGCTGCTCTAGTAAAAAAAAAATGTGAAGATTATTAATTTTTTAATTTTTTAAAAATAGTGTTTATAAATATTAACTTTTAATTTATTTCAATTTATCAATTAATTAATATTAAGTTTTTAATCAATTAATAATTATAATTATTAATATTTTTATTAATTAAATTAAATTAATATTTTTAAAAAATAATATTTTATAATTTTAATAATTTTAACATACTCGTCGGTTCCCCTGTCCGCTCCCTACGTTCAAATCCTTGTTTATATATATATATATATATATATATATATATTGCGATGTAATGAGAGGATGGTGACGGTCAGACACGAGGGTAGAATTGAAAAAAAATGACTCGGTAGTTGGGCCGTTTGTTTTGAAATTTTTTGGGTTGGGCCCCAGCTTAAATGGAAAAGCAAGCAAACATGGGGTTGGAGGCTGATTAATGCCGGTTCACTTTATGATTATTACTAAAATGACTTGATTATTGATTGCTGCAGCAGCAGCAGCAGCAATCATAGCGGTATATTCCAAATTCTACATTATCCTAATTTATATTATATTATTTTATTTATTTTAAAAATTTTTAAAGAAACACTTCTCTTTTATAAAGAAGCTCAAGGGGGATATATATATAGATATATTTCTTTAAAATGATATAAACATTGTTTTATTTAATTTACATTTGTAAATTTAAACCTCAAAAATTGAAAAAATAACCCACATGTATACATTAGAACATCAAAAATTCAAAAAAAAGAAAAAAAAGAAGAAGAAATGATAAAAGCCCCACATGGGCCCCTTTTTAAAAAAAAAAAATCTGCAAAAGCATTTTAATTAAACTTAGAAGTTACAGAGTGCACAACTTCTTCCTGTTAAAAGTACTTTTAAAAACACCTATTTCACCCACTATAATCCAGCAATTGCAAAGGATAAAACGCCTATCAGATCAACTTTGCTCCAGTCTACATGTCTCTAGCAGTATCTTAATTAAACCATGGTTCACAATTTAACTTAGGGCAAACAGTGGCTCTTACCCAAAAAAAGGATCTAGATTTAATTAGCTCAACGATCTTATCCTCTAAGGCTAAGCCAGCATATATATCTTCTTGAAAGATTATTTGGTTTTGCAATAACCACACCATTGCAAACCAGACAACAATCCGCCATCAACTATATATAATCTTACTTATAAAAGGGTTATCATAACTAACTATTTAAAAAATTATAAATTAATAAAATTACAAATAAAATTACTGATCTTAATAAAATTAGGGTGGTCCCCGTAACATCAACCGAATTGGACACTTTCTGAAAAAAGTGAGTTGGTGGTTGGGCCGTCTATTTTGAAACTTCTTGGAGCCCTGCATGGTGCGTAAAAGGAAAAGAAAGCAGCCAGGGAAACTTGACTCGCTTGATGTTTATCCTCTCAAGGTGTCTTATTTGTTGTCATTTCTCGAATGCTTACAATATTACATTTTAGATTATAAAAATTAATTATTAGATAGAAGGGTTAATATTTATTATTAGAAGATTTTTATTATATAATGATTAATATTGTATAATAAAACAATAAAATATTTTTTTAATGATAAAATTAATACGCCCTAAAAAGGAAAAAAAAGGGAAGAAGAAGAAGAAGAAGATAAAGGACCAACATTCTCTTCAATCCGGTTGTTGCAGGGTAGGCGGCAAGGTACGTAGCTGCTTCCCTTAAGTCGTTGAGAGTTCGAAACCGGACTTTTTCCTCCCCACCTTCCTTTTTCCCTCGTGAACTGCAGCATCGACGTTCAACACACAAAATGTGCACGTATTCCATGTGCTTTGATTATTACTACTTTATCTTTCTTTTTCTGAAGACTGAGACCACAGGTAAAGATTTACTTTCTTTTTCTTCTATTTATCCTAATTTAAAGTTTGTTTGAGAAGATGCATAACCGAATAAGAATGGTTTTTGCCTATGGCGAACTTCATTTAGAAACATTAAAATAAAAAATATAATTAAATAAATTTTTATGCATATGTAAATTATTAAAGATATATATTTTTTATTTTTTTTAATCTCAAATGGATATTTTTACTTACACTCTGCCTTCAAAAACCATTTCTTTAATCGAAGCTTTATAATGTGATTTGGTTTAAACCTTTAAGGTGAAGAATTAAATTTAAACACCCCTATATAGAAAACACAGAAAAAATAAAAGAACTAAAGAATTGAAGCACTAGCTGTTTGTCTTACTTCGAAAAGTCTGAAGTGAACGTATCTCCGTGAAGGGGGAGAAAAAAAGTGCCCAACCTTATGCCATGAAATCTAAAGAGAAGTTCCTTCATGGAACATATGTCGCAGAGTATACAAGCTCAAGACTTCTCTTATTCTAGAGCATGAGTTAATAAATACCAGACAGGGTTGATTTTCTTTAATAGATATATATATATATATATATATATTTTTCAGCAAAACCAAATGGAAAATATATTATTTTAGGAGTATAAAGAATACTCCAAAACTAAATACAACCCATAAATCAAAGTTCAAATGTAGTCTCTATACAAGCACAAACTATAATAATATTACTCAAATAGAACTCAAAAAATAATGTAAAATAAATCAATCCATATCTCTTTTTAGCTTCTTGTAATTAACTTTTCAAATTTTTTTAATATTAAACAATAATTTCTCTACGCACTTTGACCTTTAGGTCCATTAGCATTAACCAGGTTGACAATACACTGCCCCTGGGCGGGTTTGAAACCCGCCCCTTGCCAAGATGATCAAAAAAAAAAAAAAAACAATAATTTCTCTACATTTCATAGGCTTGATATCTAATTTTTATAAAAGATCACACAACTTATCTCTTTATTGAACTTGCATAAACTCCAACGATAGTACCTCAAACATCAAAGCTGTCCCGACTACTCATATTCCTCCATACCAAAGAAACTAAGCAACAACCAAAAAAATGAAAACTCCTAAATCCCTTGTACTTCCCCCACTTATGCCATATACCACAGACTCCACCAACCCAAAGATCGCTATCATTTGACAAAATACTCTGCAAATCCCATCATCCCAACACCAGGTGATTGAATTGATAAAATTTCAATCACATAACTGGTATAAGGCAAAGCTAGCTGCTGCCTGAACTCTTCAAGGATTGCAGGTATAAATCACCTAGTAAGGTACGCAAATGATAAGACCACAATAGCAGGTGAAGCGATCAGTGTGTCTGTGGAAAATGTAGTTTCTTGAACTGTGTTGCTGGGTTCTCATCGGGCTCACAGTTTTTGCTTTGTAAACGGGCTGGGAGTACACTTGTACTCGACCCGCATTAATAATTAAATTTATCTGTGCCATAAAAAAAAATAAAATGAATAAATGCATAAAGTAGTATGAATTGATCTTGATTAAAAAATTTTAATAATTATATATTATATATTACAAATTATAAATTTATAATATCATAATTTTAAAAAAAATTTATATAATTTTATATATCATTTAATATAATTACGCCACATAAGAACCTTAAAAACAGCTCTTACTATTCACTTCCTCCTCCTTAGTCAGGCATTGCTCTTCCAAGTTAAGCACAATCTCCGTTACGCCTTTAGCTAAGAAATGTTGTGAAATTAATCACATAGAAAGACGAAAGAAGTTGATGGCCCATCTGGTTACAAGTGTTACTTTACTTAGAAAGTTTTTATTAAAGAAATATTTAAAAAATATTATGCAAAAAAATTATTAAGTTTTTTAATAAAATTTTAAATTATTAATTTTATTGTATTTGATAAAAAATTCATACAGAAAAAATTAATATAAAAAGTTATTAAATAAATCATAGAGAAACTTTTTTCTTTCAAACTAGATGAAAAAAAAAAACTTTGAGTTGAGAGTTATATCTGAAAGAATAAAGACTAATTAAAAATACCATTTTTTTTCTTTTTATGATAGTATTAATATGTAAAAATATATAAATAACTTTATAAAAAATTAAAAAAATTTAGGAAGAAAAGTTTCCCAACCAAACACCCCCTAAGAGAGTTTACTTGCATTATTTTAGGTACAATGATTGTACCTGTATTATTTTTAAGTTTTTTTTTTTTTTGTTTTTAACATGTTTATAATTTGGAAGTGAATGATTTGAATCTCATCATTCAAATTAAGTCATCATTTGAATTGAAAGATGCACTTTACAAATTGATTTATAACCGTTGATTCATAAAGTTCAATGGGTATTATTTTTAAGTTTAGTTGTTCTATTTTTCCTTAATAATATAAAGTAATTATCTTCTTAACATAATGGTAAAATAGAAATTGGAGATTTAAATGATACCCATAAATAGGAACTAAGTATACCCTCTGTCTAACTTTGATAAACTTAGTTTTCAATTTCAAACTTTTAAATTTAATAGTTTATTTCTTTTTTTAAGATATTTTTTAATACATTTATTTTTGTTTGATGCTTATTTTAAAAAATAATTACAATATATATTAAACAAAAATGTTATTTAAGTAGTACTTAAAAGGAATAAATATAAATTTTACCAATAACTTATTACATCCCTGTTTTATTAAATACAAAAATTAAATTTACTAAAATTGAAAAAAAAAAAAGGGATAAATTATATAAAGAATGTTGTTTCGCATTGGTGCATGTTAGAGGTCCTCTATCAATGGTTATGAAAAATACATTATAATTGTTTGTATTATTGCAATCTGCCAGGGCCAAAAATTAGCTTGGCTTAGATTGAGAAATCAATTATGTTGTCCCTCAATTATCGTTTTAAGAAATTTAATTTCCTAACCTAAACCAAGTAAATTTTTCGTTGAGTACTTTTTCATATTCCTTTTTAGGAAAAAACCAAACCAAATAACCCTAAAGGTATGTTTGGTCTGACATCCTTCCATTTTCCTCTCCACACCTCATTTTTTTTTGGTACAATCTCCACACCTCATTTGAATAAATAAAATGAATTACAAAAGAATAAAGTAAAGAACTTTTCTCTCCTCTGGAATCAAACATTAATTCTTTAATTAAAAAATAAGAAAACTAGACTTTAGCGTTTGGTAACTTCAGATTCTAAAATTAATTTATTTTAATATTCCAGACATTCATGAAATTGTGACAAAAGGGTGACCACATCTTCTCGCTTTCCTTCATTCCTCTTTCGTACTATAAATCTCCTCTCCTTTTGAATCACTCTCGTCTCAATCTCTACATATACCCACCAAAGTCCAGACTTCAGAAACTCCTCGATCTGCCTCTTGGTTTCGTTCAAAATTATGGAGGTAGAGGTAGAGGCAGAGATTGATCGATTGCCAATCGACCTCTTGGCCCATATTTTCGTCATGATCACTTCCTTCACCGATTTGGCACAGTAAAAGTTCATGAATTTATTCATTTCTTATGTTACTTCAACTTGTGCTTTCTTAGTTTTTATATATATATTTCGTATATTGAATTCAGGGCGAGTATTGTGTGCCGGAAATGGAAACAGGGTGTGCAGCAGTCCCTGGCAAGAAGGGAGAGTTTAAGCTTTGCCAGTTGGAAAATGGATGATGATTCCACCGCCCGTCTCGTCCGCCATGCTTACACCCTCAAAGAGCTTGACATGTATTCTTTTCTTTTTCTTTTATTATTATGGCAACCTTACAT